ATTCCTGAGGTATTATCACTATCCCATTTTACAGATGAGAAAGTTTCAGCACAATTAACTAACTTGTTCAAGGAACTTAATCTCTCTCTTTTTTTTTTTTTTTTTAGACAGTCTCACTATGTTGCCCAGGCTGGAGTGCAGTGGCGCCATCTCCGCTTACTGCAACCTCTTCCTCCTGGGTTCAAATGATTCTCCTCCCAAGTAGTTGGGACTGCAGGCACCCACCACCATGCCCTGCTAATTTTTTTTTTTTCTGTATTTTCAGTAGAGACGGGGTTTCAAGTAACAATCTATTAATCTCTTAGTGGTGAAGCAGATATGTCTCACAGAGTCTCCTTTCTCTAATGCCTCATAAGAAGTAGACGCAGATTAGAACTAGGGATACTGGCTCCAACATCCATTTTCTTGACCACTTTACTTCCCACCGTGCCTAAGATCAATCTGTGCTCTCAACTGAGCTACAGTTTGAGGGCACTTCTACGTATTTCTACATACCTGGCCTGAAGGTATGGGGAGTGGAGAGGGAGAATTCAGCTTAGAAGGTGCGCCAACTTGGAGGATTTACTCCACCTGTTTGGAGCTGCATTCCACCCCCTAAGCTCTGGACGCATCCTCTAGCTTAGCCTATAGCCCTCACATCCACTGAAGAGTTCATCTCCATCTCCATCTGCTTCACCCATTTCTCCCCAGGAACCCTTTCCACTTCTCCACAGTCAGAAAAGGGAAAAGCTACCAACACTTTGGTTTACTTTCCTCCTGACAGAGAGCATAAAAACTCTCAAAATTTGGGTGACACATAGTTATGACTTCTGGCAGATGGGGTGAGAAACCTTATTGTGTAATACACTTCCTCTCGATTCTAGAATCTTCCATGCCTTTCCTTATTTACTGGTTGAAGTTTGTGGCACTGCATGTGCCCCATTCCTTGTTTGATTGCTGAGGTAAAATATTTTACTAATTTGTATGAACTTGGTGGTGGGAGTGGGGATTGCTCATTTATTAAATTAGGCATTAGAGAGACTGTGAGACATATCTACTTCACCATCCTGATCCAGATATGCATACAGCATACCATACACTGTTTCTTGAAGATTCCAAGTTAGCTAGATTTTGTAAATCTGATCAGGGAAACTAGATTCCTACAGGAAAGGAAGGAGAAAGAAAGACAAAACTTTAAAGAGTATTTTAAAAATGCAAGAGGGTACAGAGAACATTCTGAGCTAATCAGGGAAAAAAAAGAAAAATGCTTTAAGTGTTAAGATGTGCCAGAGATATGAAGCCTTGAATGAAGAATGTCAGACTCTCTGGTTCAGATACAAGTTAGAAATCAGGAACACATTTTAAAGTTTTCTAGGCTGAGCACAGTGGTTCATGCCTATAATCCCAACACTTTAGGAGGCCAAGGCAGATGGATCACTTGAAGTCAGGAGTTTGAGACCAGCCTGACCAACATGATAAAACCCTGAATCTACCAAAATTATAAAAAATTAGCTGGGTGTGGTGGTATGCACCTGTAATCCCAGGTACTCAGGAGGCTGAGGCAGGAGAATCGCTTGAGCCCGGGAAATGGAGGTTGCAGCCAGCAGAGATCATGCCACTGCACTCCAGCCTAGATGACAGAGCAAGTCTCCATCTCTAAATAAATAAATAAGTTTTCTACTTTTTAGCATAAGTTTCTCTGATTCTTTCTGAATATTAGGCCTTCATACTGTTAACATCAGACTTCAATAGCTTGCTTTTCCCCATCCCCAAGCATGATCTACACTATCAGGAAATTCCACTGTAGTGCTCTCAGCCAAATACACTGGGAATGCCTGGTCTCTTTCTGATCCATTAGCCCATGACTAATAGACACTGAGGCAGGCGGAGGACACAGGAATTGCTGACCACAAAGGAAGCCCTGCCCCTCCACAGGGCTTATACCAAAAGGTGGAAAACTGAGGAGTCCCCTGGAAGGCACAGGTGCCTCATTTGAGTCATCTCACCAACAGAGCTGAGTGCAGCTAGAAGCATTTATGGAATTTTTCAAAATATAACCTCTTGTGGAACTGGGAGAAAATATCTACATAACACATATCTGATAAATGCAAATTTAAACCACAATGAGATACCATCACATACCTATTATAATGGCTAAAATTTTTAAGTTAATACCAACTGCTGACATGGATGCAAAACAGCTGAAATTCTTAAACACTGCTGGTATAAGTGCAAAACAGTAAAGCCACCTTGGAAAATAGTTGGCATTTTCTTTAAAAATTAAACATACGGCCGGGCGCCGTGGCTCACGCCTGTAACCTCAGCACTTTGGGAGGCCGAGGCAGGTGGATCACGAGGTCAAGAGATCGAGACCATCCTGGTCAACATGGTGGAACCCCATCTCTACTAAAAATACAAAAAAAGTTAGCTGGGCGTGGTGGCGCGCACCTGTAGTCCCAGCTACTCAGGAGGCTGAGGCAGAAGAATTGGTTGAACCCGGGAGGCAGAGGTTGCAATGAGCTGAGGTCGCACCACTGCACTCCAGCCTGGTGCCTAGTGACTGAGTGAGACTGAGTCTCAAAAAAAAAAAAAAGAAAAAAAATTAAACATACACTTACAATAAGATCCAGCAATCCTACTCCTTATACCCAAGAGAAACAAAAAGTGATGTTCACACAAAAGCCTATAAGCAAATGTTGCAGTAGCATTATTCATAATAACCAAAAACTGGAAGTAACTTAAATGCCCTTCAATTGGCAGATAAACAGACTGTGGTACTTACATCCCATACGACGAAACACTATTCAACAATAAGAAGGAACACACTACTGATAACACACAACATGGATGAACCTTAAATGCCTTATGCTAAATTGAAGCCAGACTCAAAAAGCTACATACTGTGTGATGTGATTTATATGACATTCTGGAGGTGGCAAAATCATAGATTTTGTAAATCTGATCAGGGAAACTAGATTCCTATAGGAAAGGATGGAGAAAGAAAAACTTTAAAGAGTATAATCATAGATTACTGGTTGGCAGGGAGAATGTTGGTGGGAGGGGTTGACTACAAAGGCATGGCATGAGGGAATTTTGTGGTGATGTAACTTCTATATCTTTTGATGGTGATTTTAGGTATTTATTAAAGTTCAGAGCTGTACACTGAAAGACGTAAATTTTGCCGGAAAAAAACGAAGTTCACAAAAGAAAAATATGTCATGTGGAATAAACTTAAAAATAACCCACTTGATTGGTAAGAGAAAGCTCAGGAAGGGTAAGTGATTACCACATCATGGGAAGAAATGAATAGCAGGATGGGAACCAGTGTCTCTCCGCCCCTGTCCAGGATCCTTTCCACTACAGCAGTATTTCTGATTTTTTTTTTACCTTGACTTTCAGTCAGAAATATGTTAGTTTTCTATTGCTGCCAATAATAACTTACCACAAATTCAGTAGCCAATTGAAGGTAAACAACACTTATCTACCTCAGAGTTCTGTAGGCCAGAAGTCCAGTATGGCATGACTATATCTCTTGCTTGGGGTTACACAAGGCCAAAGCAAATGTCTCAGAATATGTCAGCTGGCCTGGCTCTGAGGAGGAGGCTTGAGGGGAAAATCCACATCCAACTGGACAGACTACAGGCAGAATTCTGTTCTATGCAGTTGGGGGACTGAGGCTGTTTCCTCGCTGGTGATCATCACTCCCAGCGTCTAAAGCCTGCCCACATTTCCTGCCTTATGACCCGTCCATCCTCAAAGCCAGCAACAGGCCTTGTCCTTTTCATGCCTTAAATCTTTGACAGTCTCTTCTGCCCTCAACCGGGGGAAAGCTGTTCAAGGGCTCATGTGATTACTCTGGGCCTGCACAAACAATCCAGGATAATCTACTTGAAGGTCAACTGATTCGTAATGTGACTTATACCTGCAATATCTCTTCTGCCATGTAATGTAACATGTTCATGGGCATAACACCAGCAGGTGAAGGTGATGGGGGCCTCCCTTCTGCCTACCACATACATTTTACACAAAGACCAAATATACACACATGTAAATGAAACAATTAGAACACTTACTTTTACTAAACTCAAGTTATTTCAAAATGCTAGTGGCAACACACATTGATTTCACATCCCACGAATGAGCTACAAACTGTAATCTGAGTCTATCTCGAAAATGGAGCAGTATTTAGAAAATAAAATTTTCCTTAGATACCATTAACGATAACATCAAAAATATTAAGTACTTAGAGAATAACATTTAACAAAATACATCAATTTGAAAGGATGTCCTTTCAAATTCCCATTTGCAATGATAATAGGAGGCCTAGAGAAGGGCCTCTGGGGTCTGTTTAATGCTCAAAATCACATGCAATGTTATAGAACTAATCACAAGCAAAACAAGACAATCCCTGGTTAGGGACATCCTACAGAATACCCAGCCAGCACTACTCAGGCTGTCAAGGTCATGAAAAATGAGGAAAGACTAAGAAACTGCCATAGACCAGTGAAGACTGGGACCAATTTATGTACAATTTATCACAATTTTAAAAAATGAGGTTACTGGTACATGCCATAGCATGGATAAGACTTAAAAACATTATCAAAGTGAAAAAAGCCAAACACAATAGACCACATTATTACATGATTCCATTCATATGAAAATGTTCTAAAATTGACTGTGGTGATTGGTGTACACATTTGTGAATATATTAAATACCACTAAATTGTACACTTTAAATTGGTGACATATAGGGTATGTGGATTAAATGTCAATAAAACTTAACAAAAAAATTAACTGGCTCAAACTAGGACCATATTTATTTGAACTCCTGAGGGCAAGTGGTGTTCATAAATTCTGGAACCACTTTCTGGTGATGTGCTGGAAAAATAAAAGAACAAAATCAATGAAAAGACTGCAGGTTAGAATGGCCGGCAGGAAAGATCAGGAAGGTCTGTGACCAGGTATGGTGGCTCTCCAGTCACAGGGCAAGAACAAAGGCAAGATTATAAAGCACACTAGACTAAAGCTGATCAAAAACCTTTATTCTGGTCCTCATCATTCAGTAAGCCACTTATGCAGAACATTTCTTCATCTCTGCTCCAAGCAGCAGTTGCTGCACCCAGGCTTGACATGGAAGACAAAAGTAGTGGAAGACCTTGCAGAGAAAAGCTAATTGATGAGATCTCTGCTTATCCCAGCATAGGTAACTGCAGAACAGGAAGAGTGTGTTTAAGCGCAAAGGCTCCGTTCTTCAAAGCTGAGGCCTGTAGAGAGGGGTGAACTGAAGGCTGCAGATGAAGGCTCACAAAACTGTTCCACTCAGCAATCAATCCAAAGTACCTAAATGTACAAAGAACAATGAGTACAGCACAAGACCTCAGGAGCTGGGTTAATGTAACAAACTGGGCAAAGTTAATGCCCAGTCTTTTGACAAAGACAAACCAAAAATACATGACAATAACAGCATATAAATTAGGAGACAAGGAATTTGAAAACTTGAGTTAATGGATTCTGAGATCTCAATTTGTTGAGAATGAAGGGAAAGGTACTGACTAGGCTTTGATAAATTAAGGACTTACATAGTAACTGATAGAGTAATCACTAAAAGAATAGAAATATTTAACTTCCAAGCTGACAAAAAATCAAATGATAATCTAAAAGAAGGCCAAAATTGAAATGAAATAATATATTATATAAAACAAGAATATAGAAAGCAGGACAAAATAAGACAATAGATTCAAATTCATAGATACGACCAATTATGTTAAAAATAAATGAACTACATGCTCCAGTTAAAGACTGTTTGAATTTAGGAAAATAATACAGTTAAATCCTGTTCACAAATACATGGAAAGATAAAAATTAAAAATTTACAAAAATACATACCATGCAAATACTAACTAAAGAAAGCTGATAAGCTTTAATATTATTAAACAAAATAGACTTTAGGCCACAAAGCACAATTAGAAATAAGAATAGCCAATTTACAAATAGAAAAGGCTCAATCGCCAATAATATGTAACAATATTAAATTTGTATATATCTAATCACATGGTTTCATAATATATGATGGTAGGCCCAGAAATATAAGAAGAAATAGTCCATAATCATAGCAGATTTTTAACACACAACTCTTTGAAATTGGTAAAATAAGCAGACAGAAGAAATTCAGTAAGAACACAGAAAATCTAAACTATGCAATGATCAAATTTGGCATTGCAACCCCTCTAACAGCATCACTGAATTCCACCAAATAATCCAAAACAAAATAATTCCAATCTTAAAAAAGTTTTCCAGATAATAGATAAGATAAAAAGTGGGCAAGGTGCAGTAGCTCACTCCTGTAATCTCAACATTTTGGCAGGCCAAGGCAGATGGATCACCAGAGGTCAGGAGTTCAAGACCAGCATGGCCAGCATGGCAAAACCCCATCCCTACTAAAAATACAAAAATTAGCTGGGTAGAGTGGTGTGAGCCTGTAATTGCAGCTACTCAGGAGGCTGAGGCAGGAGAATCACTTGAACCCAAGGGGCAGAGGTTGCAATGAGCTGAAATTGTGCCACTGCACTCCAGCCTGCGGAACTGAGTGAGACTCTGTCTCAAAAAAAAAAAAAAGATAAAAAGCATGTAATTGCCTGAATTGTATGAAGCTTACGGTATGAAAAAAATACTAATCTCTCTTATAAACAGGGATGCAACATGCATAATCTGTTTAAAAAATCTACATAAAATCTACAGTGAGCATAATTACTAAGGAAATACTGAAAGCTTTTCCTTGGAAGTCAAAAATGCCTGTTCTTAACATTTCCATGCAACACTGTACTAGAGATTCTAGCCAGTTCAGTAGGGCAAGAAAAAAACAAATATAAAAATGAGGATTGGAAAGAATTTCACAAAATTATTATTATTAGCACGATATACTATTATGTAATTAATGAAACTCAAAAATCAACAAATATGTCATTAAAATTAGTAAGAACTGAATCAAAACAAAATTTTTAAGTAAAAAATACTAAAAATGGAGCTAAGCAAGATGCTAGGTACAAAATTAACATATAAAATCAATTATATTTCTAAATACAGCAATATTTAGAAAACAAAATTTTCCCTTCAAATATACCATTAACAATAGCATCAAAAATAGTAAGTACTTAGAGAACAACATTTAACAAAATATGTCAAGATTTCTTCAGGTAAAATATTTTATTAAAAACTAAATATTAATAAATGGAAAAGTAGACTATATTTATGAACTGAAGAGTTCACTATTTTAAAGATATCGTTTCTCCCCCAAAGTAATTTATAAATTCAATACAATCTCAATTAAATATCCCTTTTTGTGGAATTTGACAGATTCTAAAATGTACATGAAAACGCAAAGATTCAAAAATAGCAAAGATCCTTAGAAAAAAACCAGGTGGGAAGATTTGCTCTCTCAGATAAAGCTACCATAACTGAGAGACAGTGTAATACTGATGTGAGAATACCCATCAATGCAAAAGAGATACAAATAGATCAATGGAATAGAACAGAAAGGCCAGAAACAGTCTTAATTGCTAAGAAAGGCAGCACTGCAAAGCAGTGAGATGTTATGGACAAGTGGATATCTAATTATGAAGAAACAGATGAGACTGGACCCCAACCCAATACACAGAAATTCAACACCACTGTTATGAAAGACAAAACTACAAAGATTTTAGCATATAAGAGAATGTCTTCATGACCACAGAGTAGGGAAAATTTTCTAAAATGGATACAAATAGCACTAGTTATAAAGAAAAAAATGGATACATTTGACTACCTTTATCTTTTAATGCTTACCAAAAGACAACCTTTTTAAAGTGTAAAACAGCAGGAAAAGATATTTCCCATATAATAAAAAAGATTAATATCTAAAATATACCAAGCATGGCTCGGCACGGTGGCTCACGCCTGTAATCCCAGCACTTTGGGAGGTAGAGGCAGATGGATCACTTGAGGTCAGGAGTTCAAGACCAGCCTGGCCAACACAGCGAAACCCCGTCTCTACCAAAAATGCAAAAATTAGCCAGCCGTGGTGGTGCATGCCTGTAGTCCCAGCTATTTGAGAATCTTTTGAACCTGGGAGGGGGAGCTGCAGGGAGCAGAGATCGAGCCACTGCACTCCAGCCTGGGTGACAAAGCAAGACTCCATCTCAAAAAAAAAATTAAAAATAAAAATGAGATAAAATATACCAAGCATTGTTATAAATCAATAAGAAAAAAACAAAAATACCTAACAGAAAAAAACTGGACATGATTATGAAAAGATGCTCAATGTCACCCATAATCAGGGCAATATGAATTAACACCACAATGCAACTATCACTTACATTCAGTGCCAGCTTGTCAAAAATCAAACTCTGGCAATACCAAGTATGGGTAAGAATGAGGAGCAATGGGAATTATCATGCACAGCTGGTAGGAATGTGAACTGGAATACAGGAAATTCAGCAGTACTTGCCAAAGATGGAGATATGAATACCCTATATATCCTAGGTCCCAGCAGTATTATATATTTTATACATACATATACATTCACCCTAGAGAAATACGTACAAGACTGTTCACAGAAAATTGTTTATAATAGGAAAAAAAAAAAGGTTTCCCAAATATCAATATTAAAATAGTTCAACTGTGGTACTGTCATGCAGTAAGGAACATGAACAAACGAGTTATGTGCAATCACACAGATGAATCTCATAAATGTATTACCATAAAGAAAACAGTTGTGTGACAAATGCTGACCAGCGAATGCTTATGGTTTGGTTCCATTTTCAGAGAGTTCAAAAAAACAAAACTAAACCTTAGTGTTCAGGGGTGTATGCTTATATAGTAAACTATAAAGAAAAGGAAGGAAGTAATTATCAAAAAAGTAAGGATACAGTAATGTGGGAAAGGGGAGAAGAGGTATGATGACGAATGAATACATGTGGGACTTCTGGGGGCTGACAATAGCCTATCGCTTGGCCTACATGGTGGTTACAAGGGTGTTCATTTTATCATTTACTGACTTTACATTTACAGCACACACTTTACATGTGTTGTATTTCATAAGACTTAGAATATACATATAAACATATTTGTATAAAATATCCAGATTACACAGGAAAACCAGTAACCGTTATTTGCAGGGAAGGGACCTGAATGTGGAATTAAGGGACAGAGAGAGGGTAGAGAAAGGCTGTTCACAGTCTTCATTTTCAGCTTCTACAATCAACCAGAGATAAAGCATGGAAGGTTTAATTGTGATAAGATATAAATGTTATTAGCTTTCACAACGTCAAAGTACCAGTATAGACAACACAAACTGAGAGCTACACGTGAACTAAAAAGGGAAAAGGGATACGTTCACTAACAGTCATATTTTACAGACTGGGGAGTCAAGAAATACATTAAAAGTTGGACACAATCACCACCAAAGACATTCTAGTATGTTATACAAACTGCAAAGGTAAAGAAAATAAAACTATTGATACAATTACCAAAAATCAGAAAGTCAGGAGGGGATTTATGGGGTTCTACAGGTTAGCCAAATTTTCATTTATCACAGCAGGAAGTCAACACATATCATCTACAACTGACAAATCAATGGGTAAGCATATTAGTTAGAAACAAACATAACCACCAGAAAAGCTCAAAACGCAGTGGGGAGACAGCAGCACCTGTACTTCATTGTAAGCCATTAGGTAACTATTTGATTTTTAAACATGAATCTATATTGCTTATAAAAAAGAAAAAAAGCTTCTACTTATACCATACACATCTAAGGACATAAGAACATTTATTTTACCAAGTACAACAAAATATAATGCAGACTGAACCCACAGGTGCTATGATGGCTAACATTCACACCTACCAATGTAGGACAGAGCAGAGGGATTCAATCACAGAGATAAATGAGGATGAAAGCAGAGTATGAAAATGAACACAGCAACCCTTCAATAAATGGCCATTTATTAAAAATCCAAGCCAAGCACTATGCTATGACAGAGTCTAGAGAGGAAAACTACATAAGATCTCCCCACTTCTATTCCTAGTCCCTCCAGTTTATTATCCCCAGAGCAGCAATGCTGTGAACTTGAAATACAAATCTGATCACATCACTCATGTCTTTGAAAAGCTGGTCATTAAACATGAAGAGGTAAAGTAGGCTCCAAACATTTTTGACTGGAGAACTTACAGAAAGTCTGTCACAAGGAGTGCCTGCCTTAGGTGAGCAACTAACAAAAGTTAATTTTAAGAAAAATGAGTAGGTGGAAAGAGAGGCTGCAGAAAAATCTACAAATTAAAAGAATGCTCAATAGTCTAGGCATGAAGCTGGCCATGGCAATGTATCTAATAAGACATTTAGAAAATATCTATCAGAAGGACCAGGGGCCTAAGTTGACATGGAGATGCAGAACAAAAGGAGTAAAAAACAGTGGAAAAAATCAAGAGATTTATGAAAGTAATAAGGCTTGGAGGAGGTAATGAGAACACCCTGGGAGAATGAACTGAGGGTACATGGCTTTTGCTAAGCTATTCCAAAATACAGTCACATGTTGCTTAACAACAAGGATACATTCTGAGAAAGATGCATCACATCTTTAGGCGATCCCACCACTGTGTGAACACCACAGAATGTACCTACACAAACCTAAACAGTATAGCCTACTACACACCTAGGCTACAGGGTATACCTATTGCTCTCAGGCTACCAATTTGAACAGCATGTTACTGTACTGAATACTGTAGGCAGCTGTAACACGATGGTAAGTGTATTTAAACATATCTAAAAATAGAAAAGGTAATGTATTTAATTAGGATGTTATGACTCACTGGGCAACAGGAATTTTTCAGCTCCATTATAACCTGATGGGATCACCCTCATGTGTGCAGTCCACAGCTGACTAAAAAGTCACATGCAGCACTTGACTATATATGTGTAGTGAAGAGTAAGCTGATCTAAGAATTAAGTAGCAGAAATAGCTCTAAGGCTAGGTAGCTAAAATGAGATATTTCAAACATTTGCTATTTTAATGACAAAACTGGCAGGCACGGTAGCTCACGCCTGTAATCCTAGCACTTTGGGAGGCCAGGGAGGTGGGGGGGATCACGAGGTCAGGAGTTCAAGACCAGCCTGGCCAAGATGGTGAAACCCCGTCTCTACTAAAAATACAAAAATTAGCAGGGCGTGGTGGCAGGTGCCTGTAATCCCAGCTACTCAGGAGGCTAAGGCAGAGAATTGCTTGAACCCGGAAGACGGAGGTTGTAGTGAGCCGAGATTGTGGCACTGCACTCCAGCCTGAGTAACAGAGCAAGACTCTGTCTCGAAGAAAAAAAAAAAAAAAAAAAAAAGACAAAATTTAGTTAGTACACAAGTTAATCCATGACTCCTAAGAACAAATAAATACAGACAAGTACAAGTCTTACTGCAGCAAAATAATCACTTCACACAGATTGTTGAAGAAAAAGGAACAGGCAGTGACCCTTTAAATGATGACAATTGTTTCTGATCTCTAACATGATAAGGGGAGCAAGCTTGATAGCTAGAGATGGCGACCAAGGTAGGAACCAAATTTTTGAATTCATCTAACTCCACTGGGATCTTTATATTCCCTCCTATTTTTTTATGGTTAGCAATTTTCAGGTAGAAGTTTTAATTCCCCAAGGGAGAAAACTCAACCTCATTAAGTTTAGCAAGTTACTTTTTTCTATCCTAATGGCAAGTACGGAGAAAGAATTATCCCTACAAAAACAAGAACCAGGCATCCGTTTTGTGAGGTTTTCAATTTCACATCAACATGCAAAAGACAGGTAGAAATGACTGCCCACTGAGAGAGAACTCACCTTCCAAAAAAGCAAATTCATCCACAGCTTCTATTGCATTATCTGAAACATAAGGTAAAGGAATACCTGACTAATTTCAGCCATGCTGACGTCAGTCCCAAAACAGCACAATCTGCAGTGAAGGGCATAAGGCTTTGGGCAAACGAGCACATTTATAAGATGCGTTCCTTGTTGCCTTGATATCCATATCTACGCTACCAGCAACTCTTATATATATTAGCTGTCTCTCTAGAAGATTAAGAAAAGCATAGGCAAATCCATTCAATGTAGGGGGCTGGGAGGTTCCTAAATTAAACCTATATTATTTATTCACTTTGCTCTGAAAGTCATCAGAGAAGCATGTGGCAATACATGCAGGGAGCCTGAGAATACGGTCTATAAATGCTTACACAGGTGAGAGTTAACCAGCCAGACAAGAGTCAGAAATCAAATCCCCAGTTGCAAGTGAAAAAGAAATATCTTTTTCAGGTGCGATTTGGCAGAAAGTATGAAAGGATCCAGTCAGCTCTGGCAGTCCCAGACTCCTTCACACTCTGCCCCCAGCACCCCAAGCAGACAGACTCTACAGGCAGGGTTTCCTGGCATTGTGGCCAACAGAAACCATCATGGGGAGAGACGCTGTGGCACCTCTCAGATCAGAGTGATGTCTTCTCAATCTGCGCAAGGGGAAACCAGCCCCGCTCTCCCTTGTCTGTCCCCAGACACGCAGTGTCACTCTACCCAAGTCTCTCCTCTGAAGAGTTTTCCTTTTTCCCTGCTGAGCGCAGCAGTAGGCATCTTTTGCAATGGTCTCCACAAATAGCTCCTGTGTAGTAAAAAAGCAAAGTTTTAGTAATGTGTTCTAGCACACTGACGAGGTGAGGGCTCCAGTTTGTGAGTTGGGGCAGAAAGGGAGAAGAATGGCTCAGGGTCAAGAAAATGTTCTGGAAGTTAAGATTGTCCTGGACTTCATGAAGGTGGATTCCACTACCCTCTTCCCAGTATTCTCCCTCATTCACTAGAGACTCCTACAAGTTCTGTAAGAGGCCCTGGAGATACAAATTAGTCACTCACTATCCGGGTCCTCAACATGAAGGAGGAGTGTTAACAAAACATACAACTCGCATAGGTTCCCGACTTCTTCCCTCCGCCTTCCGGGTCCACGCCCACATCTCAAAACCTTGCCCACGCCGCCCTAAGCCCCGCCCGCGCTCCCCTCCCCCACCCTCCGCGTGCCCTCTCGCTGCAGCCGCACCGCTGCTCGTGCCAGAATGAAGATGGCTTCCTGTCCCGCTAGCGTCACGTCGGGGTCCGCCTTCACCAAGGCCTTTACTCGCGCCAGAGGCAGCCTCGAGAGACGTGCCCCAGGCGCACTCGTTGGGGCTGGGGGCTGCGAGGCCGCTGTCTCCCCAGCGGTTCCGTCCTCCTCTCGGGGAGTCCCGCTTCCTGAAGCCACCGCCACCGCCGCCGCCATCCCGGCCCTGAGCGTGCTGCGCGCGGCCGCCGACTGTGCGCGCGCATGCGGCGCAGGCCCTTTCCCGCGCGGGCTGGAGGCCACACCCTGTGTTGGCGCGCGGCTCCGCCCCTACGCGCAGGGCCCTCCCGGGAATCCCGGTGGGCGGGGACCGGGCTGTAGCTCTTCCCGCGCGCCTGGCCACCCCTGGGCTGTTGTGGACTTGGTTGACGCCACCGGCCACCCTCTGGTCCCATTGGGCCTGTGGAGCCCAGGCACCGCGCTTGGTTCCTGTGCGGGGCTGGTAAGAGAAGTCTAGACCTGGCTCTCCGTCGACACAAGAGTGTTCATCCTCGCGGGCACGTGTCCGAGGGAGGCCGGGACATTCCCTGGAGGGCCCAGGATTGGGGAAGAGGGTGCCAAGAAGGCAGCAAAATCTGGACCAAATTCAAGGATAACCAGTTATAGATGCTCTTGAAGGAGGGGTAAGGCTTTTGGCAGGCAGAAATGAAGAAACTCAGTCCAGGCAGAGGAAACAAGAAAAAGATGTGGAGGCTGGAAGGGATGAAGTTGTGATGAGGCATCCACGTTTGTTCAAAAAGTGGTTGCATCACAGCTTTGGGTCTCAAATTTGATCTCAAGATCCCTTTATGGTCTTAAAGATCATTAAAGAGCCTAAGGAGCTTTTTTCTGTCGGTTATATCAATACTTACTATATTGGAATTGAAACAAAGCTTTAAAATACTGATTTAAAAATCAGCTTGTAATTTATTACAAGCTAACATAAACATTTTTATGACAAGTGACTTTTTAAAAAATAAATCTGGTAAGAAAAGTCTAATGTCAGATTTCATGTGAGAACTGGATTCTCTATCTGCTTCTGTCGTTAACGTTAGCTCTTCTCAGGTAGCTCTGAAAAACTGTACTGCATCTCCTTAAGAGAATGAGAATGAAAAAAGACAACCTCTTGGTAGTATTAAGAAAATAATTTTGACTTCATGGACTCCAGAAAAGGGTCTGTAGAAATTTCCCACCCCCCTGAATCCCCACACTACACTTTGAGGTCTGATAGCATATAGGAACAGTTAATATTTACAATCGGTTTAATCTAAGTCAATCATAATAATAGTGAACACTTTTGAGCATTTACTATGTGCATGATTCAAAGTATTTTATATTTATGTAAATCACACGTCTGTAATTTTCGTAATACCTTATTGAGGTAAATATCTTAACCTTATTTTACAAAATAAGCTTAACCTTGTATTTCAAACATTTGAAACAAGGCGCAGAGTGGTTACTGAGTCACACACACTCGACAGAATGTGGTGAAGCCAAGATGAAGCTGAATTAAATTAAATCTGAAATTACTCCCCTCACTCTGACTGGTGTAGGGGTGGAAAGGTGTGACACCTTTCTTTACTCATTATCAGGGTCACAGCTGACACTCATAACACACAAATAGCTGTGTGGAAATGTGATTCGAGGCCTGGAACAGTGGGTCACACCTGTAATCCCAGCACGTTGGGAGTCCAAGGCGGGAGGACAGCTTGAGCCCAGGAGTTTGAGACCAACCTGGGTAACAGGTGGAGACCCCCATTTCTAGAAAAAAAAAAAAATTAGCTGGACGTGGTGATCCTATAGTCCTAGCTACTTGGGAGGCTGAGGTGGGAGGGTTGCTTGAGCCCAGGAGTTCAGGGTTACAGTGAGCAATGATTGCATTACTGCACTCCAGCAGTGGCAACAGAGACCCTGTGTCTTAAAAAGAAATGTGATTGGACAAAAAGGGAATGATGATGATCTAATGGTAATAGACTGAATGGGGAAACCCAACAAGGCTGGTCTGTTTATACTCTTCTTGGCCTTTCTGTGTAGCATTCCTTCTGGTATTAGGACAGGAGTCTTCTGGAATAAGGGTCTTCAAGGGAGAAGGCAGAGAATAACCTTTCTAGGTTTTACAACTTGCTTGAAGGAAGGGGAGCTCTAGTTTCTATGACCTGCGTTGGGAAAGAAGAATTCTGGTTTCCATGACTCACTGCAAAGAGTGATGGTGTTACAGTGGGTAGCTAGTCAGACACGAACAGGGAAGGATAGGGCCCCCACACTCCAGGAATGTCAAGCAACCATCAGGTCATGGTCAGGCAGTGATCACACTGCCTCTCTAAAATAATTGGTCACAGGCAATGCCAGGGAAAGGCAGTTTCCCTATAAATAAAAAACCCTGAAACGTGATCAGCAGCTTCCTGATGAGATCTCAGGAGTTGGGCAAGCAGGCTCACACATGCACACTTACAGGCAACATGGTGGAATTTAACTGGTATATGACCTTCTGGGGGCATTCCATTGAAAAAGGGAAGAAAAGGGAAGAAAGCCTCGGGTGAGCATGCGTACAACTCCAATAAATACACTGCATGTGCTCTCCTCCCCAGCGTTAGCAGACCATTGGGAAGAATCAGGGTAGAAGGGATGCAAGACCCCAGAAGTGTGCTAACATATAAAACCCCAAGTCAAAAGGTCAAACCTTGCACTTGTCCTTCAAGTCACCCTCTTGGGCCTCTTCCCAATGTACTTTTCTTCTTTTCATTCTTGCTCTAAAGCTTAATGAATTTTCACTCCTGGTTTTAAAACTTGCCTCAGTCTCCTCTTTTGCCTTATGCCCCTCAGTCGATGGCTTTCTTCTGAGGAGACAAGAATAGAGGTTGCTGCAATTCGCTGTCAGTATCTTGAATAACTTCTACTGCTTACAGCGCAAAACAGGACAGGAGAAGTTCACAAACACCTTACTTCTGAGACCTTTCCAGTTTTCTTCAGTTCAAAGTACTCAGCATTTTAAGGTACCATATTTTGGGGTATCATGTTCTGGGCCCCAACCCTGAGTTAGCACAGAGACACTCTACTACAACAGAATAAGAGTCTTGGCCCAGAATTTAAATCTTCAGAAGAGGATATAAGTTACTGAAAATTGAACCAGAGCTGCCAGTAGGGCCTCAGTCCTGAGTTGTCTTCAGATTATATTTGTGGACACTCACTCGCTCATGGAAAGCTCCACACAAAATTCATAAAAGCATGGCCAGATTCTTGTGTCATATTGCACGAGAACACTTCACAAGAGCTATAGACCAGCAATCTCAAAGTAGCTAAGTACTAAATTGGCCTAAATTCTGAATTAACATAAGACAGTTGTCAACGGTGGGGGTGTTAGCCGACCCTACCACTTACCCAAAGTTAGCCTTTGGGTTAAGGGTTTCGTCACTACAGTCCCTTTCGTGGTCACCAGAAAAATGTTACAGGAAAGGGGTCCTGATCAAGACCCCAAGAGAGGGTTCTTGAATCTCACGCAAGAATGAATTCAGGGTGAGTCCATAAAGTGAAAGCAAGTTTATTAAGAAAGTAAAGGAATAAAAGAATGGCTACTCCATAGGCAGAGCAGCCTTGCCCATTTTTATGGTTATTTCTTGGTTATAAACAAAGGGTGGATTATTCACGCCTCCCCTTTTAAGACCATATAGGGTAACTTCCTGATGTTGCCAGCATTTGTAAACTGTCATGGCACTTGTGGGAGTGTAGCAGTGAGGACGACCAGAGGTCACTCTCCTGGCCATCTTGATTTTGGTGGGTTTTAGCCAGCTTCTTTACTGCAACCTGTTTTATCAGCAAGGTCTTTATGACTTGTATCTTATGTCGACCTCCTATCTCCTATCTCATCCTGTGACCAGAATTCTAAGAATGCCTTAACCATCTGGGAATGTAGCCCGGTAGGTCTCAGCCTCATTTTGCCTGGCTCCTATTCAAGATGGAGTTGCTCTGGTTCACACACCTCTGACAGGGGCAGGAGGAGTTAAGATTTCTTGAAAGGGCTGAGTCAACTTGGCTTTCAGAGGATTCTCATTTCAACCCCCTTTTCTTCCCAGTTTTGTCTAATTCATATGTTCCTTGCCTTTCCTCCTTTTCTCCTTTTTTCCCCCCTTCATGTTTTTTGTTTTTGTTTTTTTTGTTTTTTCTTTTTTCTCATCACTTGAATGTCTCCCAACTTGACCCAGTCCCATCCTTCTCTCCCTGGTCTGACTATGACTAAACAAGAGTTTATGGAGACTAAACGAGACTTCCTATGAGTGTTCAACAGCACTAAGATGTGTTAGAAAGTGAAATCATATTTCACAGTTTTTGAGTTTCTGTGGAAAAAAGGAAGAGGAAACAGGAAGACAGAGGTTGAAAAGCTCAAAAAAGCCACACACAAAGTTTACGTTCCAGTTCAAATAGAATGAAGGCTAAAAATGTCTTTTAAAGGCTATGTGATGAAAATTAGTGCAATAAATAAAATGATGTGTGTTAAATGAAGGTTAGCCTAAAGCTGTTGCTGTACATAGTTTAAGTTTGGCCTAAAGGTTTCTTCATATGTACAGAAATGCAAGGTAACTTGATGTGAAAATGGTCACCTACTCTTATAAGAAATAGCCAAGTTTCAGCCAATTACAGGCAGCCAGCTGTTCAAACCAGGTTCAAATAAGGCAAACTTCAAGCTGTAGCCAGTCCAGCTATTTCTGTATCACTTCTGTTTTCTGGACATCATTTTCCTTTCTCTCTCCGTAGGTGTTTTCCTACCATGCAGCAGGCCTAGAGTCACTATGGACCTGTTCTGTTTGTGGGGGCTGCCTGATTCAGAATCATTCTTTGTGCAATTAAACTCTGTAAAATTTAACTTGTCTAAAGTTTTTCTTTTAACTTGTGAGGTATTTTATGTAATAAACTAGAGATTAAAGACAGCTTGCCATCCACCCTACTAGGGTAAGTGTTCTATCCAGGAGATATGTATGTGGAGGAATCAGTAACACTACATTTCTGAATTATTTTTAAAAACAATCATATGTGTTGTATGTACATGTGTGTATTGTTAAAAGATAAACTTAGACACATTAACATTTTGAACAGTTGATTTGAGCAGATAGTGATTCATGAATCATGTAGTGCCAAACCACAAGTGGGGTCCGCGTTCCAGTGAGGTAGGGGGAGGGGAAATGTTTTATAAAGTATTTGTGGAAGCAAGACAAAGAAAATATTTGA